CATTTTCAATTTTGCAGTGTTGGGCTTTCTTTAGGGATTCTGTATTCATCTATTTTATCTAAATTTTGAATTCTGCTTTACCAGGAATAAGGTTCTTAAAAATGAATACTGATTCCTCTTGTAGTACTACACCAAATCAAAATCATTCAATGCAGTATGCTTCTTTTTCACCTAAAAATTGTACAAATTTGATGTAAACAAGTACACCATAAGGAACATCAATAAGGCATATTTATTCAATATGTGCGTTCCCTTCATATTTTTTACAAATGTTCATTGTTTATATACCTTATGTTTGTATCATGTATGATGCACTGAGAGAATAAAGAATTTGCTTCAAGATCTTGTACTTTCGGGTGCTGCTGTTGACTCAAGGGTTATCATCGCCGGTGCAACAGGAATCGTATGACACAAGAACACCTCTATTGAAAAACAAATGGGGTAGATATTGAAATGGCAAATGAATCTCTTTCAGATTTCCTCTATTTTAATCGTGTACCTTGTACATCATCTAAATCGTGAAAAAAATTCTTTGCACAAATAATTGCTTTACTCTAGATCTCGGCAACGTTTTTTAAAACAAGGTAAGAAATTATTCATTTTAATTATAAATAAATTGTGCAATACCCGATGAAACATGTTTACAAGCTAACGCGTTATTTGATATCAAAATCTTCCATAGACCATCATTTTCATCTGTTGCTGAGGTACAGTAAAAGTGCATTATATATTTTGAATGGAAGTCAACATGTTTTTTTTGTTTACTTTTTGCTATTGTTATGACAAACGGTTCCCGATTATTGCCTCATTGTTCAGGTTAAAATCATCTAACATTCTCTAAAACCATTGTTTAAACGTAAAATAATCACGAAGTCAAAATGTATTTCTTTCTAGGTATAATGTGCCTTTAAGTAATATTGAAAGTTACATAAGTTTCAAATTAATCATGCTATAAACGTTAATGCTTTAGCCTCAGGCAAACATAGTATTAGTGTTTAAAATTATGTACAAAGAATTAATAAAATTAAATCACTATTTTTGTATGTTTTGTTTGACCTTTTGCTTATACTGGAAATGCAAGTAATGAATTTCCCATAAATTATTTGTTTTGTTTTAGCTCCGAGCCGAAATATTTGTCATTCGTATGTAAGTCATTCTGTTATTCGATGACTGAATTTAATTAATATAAAAGATATGTACGCATATGAGGTATTCACTGTTACCTAGATGGTACAAAAGAAGAACGATTAACAAGAAATGGCGACGTTCAGAGAACGCATGCCCAGCCACAAACCAGCCATATAGACAGGGCATCCAGAAGGTCACCGAACAAACATAGATGATGGCATTAACGCGGAGAAAAGATGTGAATATCAAAATGTAAAAACCAAATTCTGTCATTCTTTTTCATGCCAATATAATGGATGCTACAGTTTTTATCATTCTAGTTTTAAAACCATAAGTGAAGAAATACTTACAACTCAAAATATAACATGAAATACATATATTTATCTTAAACGCTTATTTGTTTTGAAAACATTGTATAGTTGATTTGTTGTAATGTATGTAAGAGAGGAAAGTGATTTTCTTTAGACTTATTAAAAACCCTTCTAAATTTAGACATGCCAGAAAAGAATTTTTTCTTTTTGTATTTCTGACCTTCCAAAACATAAAACATACAACAGTATTTATAGCCTTACATCATTGTATATTTTAAATAATAATAATATATTTGTATATGGAAAATAATCACAAATGATAAAGAATAGTTCGATAGCAAATAATACCGTTATCATGTAACTATATAGCTTCAAGTATCCATAATCCCCTAAATGCTATTTTCTGTTCTGTTTTAAAATCTCCAAAAGAGAATTTCAAAAAATCGAGTTTGTGTGTAGTGTACAAATTGAAATGTCAGCAAAGTCTGACAACCACAATATGTTTTTCAGATTTCAAATTCATCTTCTTGATAGAGAATGAATATAAATATCCCTACTTTATTTTATATGTTTACAAGTCTGAGTTGTAAATAAAACCTGTTTCACCAATAATTGCTCGTGAATAGCACGGCAAAGTCGTATCTTGATATTGAATTGTCCATATTTCGGTATTTGTAGTGTTTCCAATTTTACCCAGGCATACTACATTTAAATTGTACTAGCTGAGATTAAAACTGGTCACGTTAAGTAAAACGAATGTCTACCTACTTGTATGTTTGAACTTTGAGTTCAAATTTACATACTGATGCTGGATTTTTTTTCAAAGCGACATTGGGTAAAATGTACTGACAAAAATAATTCTATGAATACGTTTATAATGCTTATGTAGCAATATTTCTGATTTTTATTTACAGTTAAGTAATACCATAATTCATTTATTGGTGATCGCACTGAAGCGCGACGCCCTTTATGGAATGAATTCAGATTTTGTGAAAGGGCAAGCGCAACTTTTCGGACGTTCCGTTTGGTGAAATTGTTGTTTAAAAGAAACGGTTACACATGTCACGCTATGGTAATAAATGACAAACTGGAAAATTTTGCAAGAAATGAAATGCAAACATATTTAACAATAAATTGCACTCTTTATAAATTTATCTTTAAAAATATTTTAATACAAATGTAGGCCATTTTTACGAATTGTTGTATCATAGTATTATCATTCTGAAATTGTCTTGTCTTTTCCGTAGATTCTTTCCGGTAAATTAATTGCTTCGTTACGGCCCTGATTGCACTTCTGGCATTTTGAGTCAGGAATATTTAAGTCGACCCGTATTTCCCGGATTTTTGCTGTAAGAAATTGATTTTATTTTGATTCAAGGCAATCGATTTTATGGTGGAATGAGTGGAATGTTGATTTGCCGAATATTGTGACATTTAACAAGTGTGCAGTTCTAACATGAGGTTTTTTTGGGTTTATTGATAGGAATATAAACACACTTCGTTCAAAGCAATTAAACAAAATAGTAGATTGATCTCCCAATAAATCAATTAACACTTAAGCTAGCTCTTTATTTATCACCAATGTCAAGTTGCTTTTTATTACTTGGGGACCATACGCCGCTTTTCATGGAATGGCACGGAAGTGTCACATTGAAGGTTCCATGATAACCGCCGTATGAACACATCTGCGGATGTTTCTAAATTCAAAATTTTACTATTTCATGTTTAAATGTTGAATTCTGCTTAAGCCGGTGCTAGGGGGCGTGGACGGTAACTTGCACTTTCCAGTACCGTCCATGAACAGGCTCAATCAAACCGAGCCTGCAACATTTTCAATTTTGCCGTGTTGGGCTTTCTTTAGGGATTCTGTTTTTATCTATTTTTATATCTTTGACTCGCATGAACATGATGCTAGTAAATTTCGTCATACCTTTCTAAAATTCAGGTAACAGTCTTTAAAATGTTGCTCCGTACTTCACTTTAGTGTTGTTATATTTTCTGGTCCTTCGGGATAATTGATGCCAGCACTATTAAGTGTTGAGAATTGAGTACCGCACTTGAGTACCACTCAAGCCGGTGCTATGGGGCGTGAGGGATGTTGCATGTATTCATTATCCCTCATGTACAGACTCAATCGAAACCGAGTCTGCAGTTCTCTTGTAATTTTGTTGTAAATAATGCTTCCGATGGATCACTTTGTTTCCAGTTTTTTTCCATTGTATTGATAAATAATGATTCACCCTATCAACATGCAATGCAAATCTATTCATGATTTTATTTTATGTTCAATTATTTTTGTTAACACACACAAAAAAATCTTGAATTTGACCACTTTCTATTTATCTGGGACTTATAATGTAACTACCGTATCTTAAGGATTACGGACCCTAATGGGCACTTTCAAGAATAACAAAGAAACATTTCTTTTTCAAATATATAATATTTAAGCATGTTATTGCAGGATTTTTAACATCTTTTACCATGTACAACTCTAGATATTTGTGTTTCAATATGGTCACCCTCAATTTCGAAAAATGGAGAAAATAAAGTGAAGACCTAAGTAACATAACAAGGTCTAATTTTCAAAAGTATAATTTTAGACTATCTAAATATGTGTTTTATAGTGTACTTCCATCAATTCTATGAAAATAATAATACAAAAACTAAAATATTTTCATATTTTTTATTTTTCAGTATCAAAAATGTTTCAAAACGGTGCTCGGACAATGCATTTTTTTTTCTAATTTAATCCAAATACCAATTTTAACATTTTTTTTTAAAAAAATTATTTATATTCAATAAAAATAGAATAGATAATAATTATCTACATCATTTCAGGAAACAAATCACCAATTTTTAAGAGATTTTACCATGGCTATTTCATTTTATAGCTTATTGAACAAAACATGTGTCAATTTTCAAATAGTCTGAAATTGGTCGAAAATATTCATAATCTAACAAAAAATGTACATTTATAATATCAAACTTCTTTTGAAGTAAGAACTACATAGCAAGTTACCTGATAGTTGTCAGAAACTTATCAGTTAAATTAAAAACACCTTAGAATAGATTTAATATGTGTTATTCATATTTATAAAAGGTAGTTCTCAACCTCAGAAAAGTGAAAAATAAAGATAAGACCTAAGCCACAAAAAGAGGTCTTCTAATTCTCACTATTTTCACTCAAGACAATCAAAATATGAGTTTTCTTGTGTTTTATAGAGTGATATCATTAACAATATGAATACAATAATGTTAAAACTAAAATGTGTTCATATTTACTACTTCTCAGTATCATGCACACTTCGATCAGTGCACGGACATTGCATTTTCCATCAAAAATTGAAACCATTTTGTAATTTTTTCCATTCTTAAAAAATCTGTTAAAAGTTCAATCTCACTAGAAAAAAACATTGATCATCTTTACCATTTGAAGAAATTAATCAATAATTACTAGAGATTTTTACTATGGCCAATTCATTTAATAGCTTACTCAACAAAATAGATTTAGGTTTTAATTTATTTTTTTAAATATTCATACCCTGAAAGAATTCTGTATCATAGATTTTGAACTACATTTGCAGGAAGGAAATTTAGCAGTTCTATTAGAGTTTTCCTGTACTATAATGAACATGTAAAAAACAATCACACAACCTTAATCCGGAAATATAAAAAAAATGAATTTGGTTGCTATTTTCCATAAAAAACCCCAACAAATTATCATTTGTTATCATTTATGACCAAAATGCTGGAAACAAAATGAAATTTACAATTATCACAGAAAATAAAATGTTACATAGAAAAATAGAATACAGTACCATAGAAATTACTATTTTATGATATATGACTGGTTATATGACCCTTAAATTGTTGGTACATAAATATAACCAAAGCTGCTTCAAGTTATATAGCAACCTACAACAAATTGATAATAATGAAGGAATATTGGTTTTATGTTCAAAAATTATATTCATAACAAATCTTTTGATAAATGATTTTACAAACAACAGTACAATAATTAACAAAATACTGTAATTACATTATCACCTCATTATTTCTTAAAATGTTCAACAAGTTTTGGTATAACACTTTCTAAGACTCTTTTAGTGTTAGTTACACGTGGCTGGCCTTCAGAGTTCTTACATGTAAATGTATTATGCAATCCATCTTCGCCCTGTCTAAGATATATTTTCTTCAGACTATTCAAATTAAGACCTGAACTGGCAATATTTTCAGCTGTGGCCAATTTACAAATGCCACAAGCAACAATACCTTGTAATGTACACAGATTTTTTGCCTTTTCTTTGCTGGATAAAAAGTTAAAGTAAACAGCCCTTGGAGAAAAAGTAAATTTCATCAGGTCTTGTACAGATATCAATGAGCAGCTGTGAGAAAGTATTTTACACAAAGCTGTAACATCATCTTCGGCATTATGTGCATTATATGTATATTGTAATACGTCACGAGCAAGGTCTTCCTGCTTATATGAAGGTCTTCCCGGGAAGGTTTTTCTAAATAATGTTAAAGTGTCCATTAATCCTTGTGCACATTTAAAAAACCTATCTATTTTGTTAGTGTTGCATAAGGCTGAAATAAGCACAGGGAAGTCAAACCTTCTACCATTGTGGGCAGTTACAATAACATTACTGTATTTATCAAGCCACTGTATAAGACAATCCAAAGCACAATTGATGTCAACTGTATCAACAACAGTCCCGTTTACTGTCATAATGTCACCATTGACTGTTATTCCTGTCGCTTGCTGGGCACCTGTTGAAATTGGCATCTTGGGCTGTACATATACACAGAATGTTTGTCCTATGCCACTGTTGACAACCTTGGCAGCAATCTGCGTTATGTGGGGCATTTGTCCAGCACGAACTGAAAATTTAATTACTTCATATTTAAACTGAACAGAGGACTATTCTATTTACACATCTAATTCCTTTTTTCTTTCAATATACAATTCGCTCATACTTTGAAATCAAAATGAAAATAAGAGACAAAAATTATTTAACACTTATATATATATACATGTGCTAAAGAATTCTACTCACTAAGGTCTGTAGTCTCTAAATCAAGTGCAATCATTGTTATTGGGTCTGATAGAGGTGGTATGGGTTTAAAGTCACCACGTGGAACAGCATCAGGTATCCTCTCTACATCAATATCTTCCTGCCTTTCTTCAATACCTGAAATCAATATATATAATTTTATAATTACATAATCAATTAACATCATGTCTATTTTATTTTATATTTTAATAGTCTAATCTGCATATGTATGTCATGAACTGAAAGTCTTTTAGTACCTGACTGATAAGATGCGCCCTCTAGTGCTTCATTAGCTCCCTGTATAACAGAACGTTCCTGCTTCAATTCAAGTCGCCGACGTTTAGATGATGGAAGAGCTGACCTTGTTTGAAGACGCTCCCTTTCCTTCATACATTTCTCTGCATATGCTATGGTATGTTCTCCAGGAGAAAGACCAGCTTCAGTGTGTACCTGAAATATTAGATGAATAATATGCAAAGAGTCCCAAATTTCATAATTATTATCATCAATTTCATAAGTCATGAAAATAATCATCAACATTTAATCATCATCCCCACCAACTTATTACTTTATCATCAATGAATGTACCTATTATAACTAAAATAATTATAAATTCTATTTATTAAACATTTTACTTACTTTTTTATACCCCTGATGTCTGAACAATCAAACTGTAACAATAACAACTGGAATTAGAATAAACAAAACTATTATGTAACAGTAATACAAATTGAACAGTAATGTAAAAGTAACAATAAAATAAACAGAACTTTTACTAAAATCATTTCTAAATAACATAAAGAGATTTTCAAATTACACAATAAACTCTAGAATGAATATAAACATTCGTGAAAAAATCAAAAAGAAAATGTTATAAATTAAACTTCAGAATAAGAAAACCATCCTTAACATATTTTTTTTTCTAAACTGATGTCCTCTTGTCCTGACATAATTACTTTTTCTCTTGAAAAAAAAACATCGCGCAGATGTTCAAATGATGTCAGTTTAAAAAGGATGTTAAGGGTGGTTTTCTTATGCCTGTAATGTCAATACATAGAACATAACATTGTGCACTAAACCTGTGTTATATACTGTCGTCCTTCATTAATAAATGCCGCTGTAGCCTGCACTCGAAAGTCCAATGATTCCGAATTTCCATAATGGAGAGATTTGGGTGCTCTCATTGTAACTTCCCGGTTTGCATGTTCACACTGTTGTGACGACCCCAAGTCTGAATATTGAACAGCATTGGCAATGACAGGTTGAAAAACCTTCTCTATTTCTTTTCTTATACAACCAGTTTCATCTTTCAAGGGTCCTTTATATGGGAGGCTTCTGTGAACATATTTCATTTTAGGGTTTCTTTTATATCCACAAAATCTATCTGCGCATAAACTATGATCCCCAAACTGGTGTGGTACTATAGCGCGGAGATTTTCTTCCATGGCTTTACTATTACCCTGGTTTTTTGCAAACGTATATTTCAAACACTTTTGAAGGTGATTGATTGTTACCCTGCTTATTTTAACTTTGTTTGTTTGAAGGTTTAGCAAATGCTTACCAACATTTTTCACAATGTGGTTCCTGTCAAACCTTTTTTTCATTTCAATGTTCAGATTTGTCCTCAACCTCGCAATCAAGGTGTTATCACCATCTCCCTCTATATATTCAACCGGTGTTCCTTCCTTAGCCAGTTCTACTACACCTTTTACACCACTCACACTTTCCATCATTCTGGCACTCCCATAGTGATTATGAACACATCTGTGACTTCTAACTTTTCTACCAGGTCTATTTCTTCGCCACCACTTGCAGGTTGCACATGTTCTATGCTGCACTATTGACTTCACAACCTTTTTGCCATATTTAGCTTTGCTCATGAAGAAAGTGTGAGCTGAAATATAGTCCAGAATATGGCATTTAAATTTTAAATGACAATACTTGTCTAAAGCAAAATAAATATTAAATCCTTATAGCCAAAATGAATGTAAAAAAAAAGTTTACATGGAGAATGTTGATGTCATACTTGTTACTTTTTATTTTTACTACATATTGACACTGTAATGTTTTATTATTGCTACACATTGACACCTTAATGTTTAATACTGGAGGAATAATACTACATTATAAATAATCGGTTCCATAAAATTCACTTATAATGATGAAATAATTCGAAATAATGACTCATATAATATTAACCTAACAAATAAAATTTTAACATAAAAAATTCAATCAGAAGGAATAAACAGCGACTCACATGTTAAACTGTCAAACCCTCGCTTCTGCCAAGCAGTGTCAACAGCGCAGGACATTCCTGTACGGGACTTGCACGGAAAATGTTTTGAGATATTTTTCCGCGCACATGGTGCCTGGCTCAAGCTATGAGGGGGTTTTCTGCAAAGAAATATAAAAAAGGATAAAAAAGTATTTATTTAGCTTATCAACTTTTTTGAGATTTTCTTCAATAAATAGAGGGTATTAAATGAATGCATATTCAAAACTCTTAAATTTTGGTTAGAATTACTTGCACCAACACAGGATTGGTCAAATGTGACTAATATGTGACAATGAAATTTTTACCATTACATGTTAAATTATTGAATACGGCTTAAGCCGGTGCTAGGGGGCGTGGATGTGGGTTTTTTGCACTTGAGAGTACTGTTAATGAACAGGCTCAGTCAAACTGAGCCTGCAACATTTTCAATTTTGCTGTTTTAGACTTTCTTTAGGGATTCTTATTTTCTAAATTTAACCAGCTTTACTTATCGAGGAGGATTTCATGTGTCCCTCTGAACAAATTTCAAGCACAAAACCCTGAGTAAAACCACAAACTTTCTGTAAACTAGATGAAAAGCTTTCTAACACTTGTGAAGCATGAAAGTCAATGACACGACTCATACCTACAGCTAAGATACATGTAGGTAAGTTATTTAAAGTTGTGCCCTTGTGTTCACACATGCTATATACTAAAACATAAATCATAAGGTCAGGTTGCACTCAGGTGTGATATTCTGTTGTTTGTTTTAACAAAACGAACAAACAGTCTCATTATCAATGCCATGACTTATATAACATTGACTGAATTCATACCTGTTCTTTCCTGCATGCTGAATTAAATTCATATGACTTGATTTCTCCTCATGTTGTTTTGATGGTTCCTCCTCCACATCCGACCAGTCATTGTCATTCAATTCAGTATTGAGTAGCATTCTGCAGTAGTAAAAATAATGTCTATAACACACATTATACCTTTTTATCTCAGAACATGGAAAATTCAAAGGTAAAGTAACTGTCACCTTTACTCATGTTCAAATGTAATAATAATATAATTTAGTAATAAACTTTTTATACAGATACAATATTAACAAAATTATACATACTTGACAGAAGGGGATGTACCAGGAAGTACTGCAAGCCCGAGGTCTTCCACGACAAAATCCATTGACTCTCTAGCTTTCTTTGTTTCTTCCTCTGCTATATCCCTTATAAAAAATAGTTTATGAATTATAACATGCTTAGTTACATGTACTTAAATGATATAATGATATCAGCACTCTGAATCCGGGGTTTTGACTCTTGAAAATTAGGAAACGCACACATTTTACTGATTGTGATAAAATCTCCACAAGAGTCAATATCTCACATGGGAATTTTCAGCTATGCATAAATTTTAACCTTGAATCCACTCCTAGCTACCTATCAAATCCTAGATATATCAATTTATCAAACTCCATTAAAATGTCATTGAGCACTCATGTTTGAAGTGCTTTACACACATGTTTATAGCCTGTGCACTGGAGCGTGACATAGCAATTGCAAATTGACAGTGCTAAAATTAGCTTTACACAACTGATCAGAATTACAAACTGGTGTCAGTTATTAATTTCAAGTATATATATATGAAGGTTCTAATGTACAACTTTACCTAGAGCTCATTATATGTTATAATATAATATGATATAAAATTGAAGATCATTTAATATTATTAACAGAATCAACAAACCAGCATTAATGCTTTCCTGAAAATTGGATTCCTCACATTCACTCAGGAGCTTTAATTTACTATCCCATTCAAACTGAATCTCAAATGCTATATTCGCAAACAGACAGCTCAATTTTATTTGAAAAATGAAATCAATTACATTGAAAATAAATATTACATCATGTACATTGTAATCTCAAACTAAGTTACAATTTATTATTAGTTTTACATTACCAGTAAACATATTGACAAACCCTTACATCTATAAATTATTTTTTAGCAAGTTGCATTAACTATGGGTCATTAGATTTACATTTTGTACTTTTGCATTTCAGTGATTTATTTTGCTTTAGACTGGCCTTTATTTATGTAGCAAACAGACTATTGACTGAAAGCAGAGTTATTTTTTTAGCGTTTTTGGGAACATGAACCATACCCAGGAATTAATTGATTAAATGAATAAAAAGAATCACTGTCTGGGATGGCATCAAACATGTAAGAACCATAACAGTGAAGAAACCCTTGATTTCAAAGATTTTGGATTGTTTTATAGTTATACAATATTTTTATTTTGCAACTTTCAATTGGGAATTTAATTTTTTCATATGAAAAGACAGACATGGTCATATTATATATCTACAGCTTATGCAGTCTAAATAGACATGTTCCACTTGATGTTGTACAAAAACATACAGATTGGTAACAAATGTTGTGAAATTACAACTGTTAATTTATTAATACACTTCAAACTCACTGTATTTCCATACTGAAAGCGTTACGAGCAGCTGTTGAAGTTGATTTGGATGCCACACACTCGACAGCTTCTCCTGCCCTGCGTTCCATTTTTTTCAGCTTGTTATTGGACAATGTTGGTAAGTTGAGAGTGGACAGCATATTGTTAACCTTTGTTGGACCTCCAATACTGTCTATCATAGCTGAAAATGAGTGAAACTTATCATTTTTTGTATAATATATATTAACATTTCTCAAGACGTGACCCAAAACAACTAAATTCAACATAGAAAAGCTATTTGATAGGGGTCACATATTTTACAATGTACATGTAAGAATAATGTATGCTCCTGGATTCAACTGTACTACAGTAGGCATTGGTCAACATGGCAAAAATTTTGTGGTTTACTAAAATGAATATGATAATACTAAATAGTCAAATTTTCATCATTTAAACTTATAATTATTCACACAAGTCAGAATCATTATCATATAACATGGAACAGATGTGTGGAATAGAAAATTATTATATAGATCTACATGTATATATATTCCAAATATTAACACAAGTTAAAAAGGTAAAGACGGCCTAGTTGACCAAAGCAGAGCTTATACAAGGTTAATATATTTTTAGGACCTAACGGAAAACAGAAGCGGATACATATAATACCGAAGGAGTCTGACACATTTAAAACGGAAAAATTAAAGGGTTTTTACAGACTTCCCCATTCATAGGCTTTGCCTAGTTTCATATTACATTTTCTCCTGTTAAATAATAATAAAATTAACATTGAACATTTGTTAAAATTGACTTTTAATGCATAAAATGTTCTAATAAGACAACTGTGTTTACAAAAACAAAATATGTGTAAGCTTTATACCTGTACCAAGCTTGGTATTTACTGCAAAACAAGGCATGCCTGATTTTCCTGATTTTCCCCTGTGGGTTTTACCATACGGAACACAGTTAATGAAACCGCAATTTAAATTTTGGCACTGCACATACAGATATCCACCAAGTCCCTTCTTAATTTCCTTTTGTACACTGTATAATGTCAGTGGAACCGGTCCTAACCTGCACGATTTGCAAAATTTCAAATTTTCGAGAAGAACACCTAGTTCAATGATTCTCCGACCAATTTTCCACTGTTGCGTAAGATTTTGGTCACTAAACACTTCAGCGGAATCACCACTTTGCACAGAATTGTCCGTTACATAATTATGTTCAATTTCAATCCTTTCAAACTTCTTAATTTTAACGTTATTTGTTTTTTTGGCGTACCGGCCACGACAGTTTCGCAAGCGAGCGGCCATATTGCTTCCTGTGAAAACTGACGTCACTGTCGCTAAAAATAGGTTATACGATAAGTGGCGAGAAAAGGCGAAGGTAGCTTCGGGCCTTCTACGACGTTTCACGATTTTACCCGATATTTACCGATTTATTAGGGTCCGTAATCCTTAAGCCGGTGCTAGGGGGCGTGGATGTGGGTTTTTTGCACTTGAGAGTACTGTTAATGAACAGGCTCAGTCAAACTGAGCCTGCAACATTTTCAATTTTGCCGTTTAAGACTTTCTTTAGGGATTCTTATTTTCTAAATTTAACCAGCTTTACTTATCGAGGAGGATTTCATGTGTCCCTCTGAACAAATTTCAAGCACAAAACCCTGAGTAAAACCACAAACTTTCTGTAAACTAGATGAAAAGCTTTCTAACACTTGTGAAGAATGAAAGTCAATGACACGACTCATACCTACAGCTAAGATACATGTAGGTAAGTTATTTAAAGTTGTGCCCTTGTGTTCACACATGCTATATACTAAAACATAAATCATAAGGTCAGGTTGCACTCAGGCTGATATTCTGTTGTTTGTTTTAACAAAACGAACGAACAGTCTCATTATCAATGCCATGACTTATATAACATTGACTGAATTCATACCTGTTCTTTCCTGCATGCTGAATTAAATTCATATGACTTGATTTCTTCTCATGTTGTTTTGATGGTTCCTCCTCCACATCCGACCAGTCATTGTCATTCAATTCAGTATTGAGTAGCATCCTGCAGTAGTAAAAATAATGTCTATAACACACATTATACCTTTTTATCTCAGAACATGGAAAATTCAAAGGTAAAGTAACTGTCACCTTTACTCATGTTCAAATGTAATAATAATATAATTTAGTAATAAACTTTTTATACAGATACAATATTAACAAAATTATACATACTTGACAGAAGGGGATGTACCAGGAAGTACTGCAAGCCCGAGGTCTTCCACGACAAAATCCATTGACTCTCTAGCTTTCTTTGTTTCTTCCTCTGCTATATCCCTAATAAAAAATAGTTTATGAATTATAACATGCTTAGTTACATGTACTTAAATGATATAATGATATCAGCACTCTGAATCCGGGGTTTTGACTCTTGAAAATTAGGAAACGCACACATTTTACTGATTGTGATAAAATCTCCACAAGAGTCAATATGTCACATGGGAATTTTCAGCTATGCATAAATTTTAACCTTGAATCCACTCCTAGCTACCTATCAAATCCTAGATATATCAATTTATCAAACTCCATTAAAATGTCATTGAGCAGTCATGTTTGAAGTAGTTACACACATGTTTATAGCCTGTGCACTGGAGCGTGACATAGCAATTGCAAATTGACAGTGCTAAAAATAGCTTTACACAACTGATCAGAATTACAAACTGGTGTCAGTTATTAATTTCAAGTATATATATATGAAGGTTCTAATGTACAACTTTACCTAGAGCTCATTATATGTTATAATATAATATGATATAAAATTGAAGATCATTTAATATTATTAACAGAATCAACAAACCAGCATTAATGCTTTCCTGAAAATTGGATTCCTCACATTCACTCAGGAGCTTTAATTTACTATCCCATTCAAACTGAATCTCAAATGCTATATTCGCAAACAGACAGCTCAATTTTATTTGAAAAATGAAATCAATTACATTGAAAATAAATATTACATCATGTACATTGTAATCTCAAACTAAGTTACAATTTATTATTAGTTTTACATTACCAGTAAACATATTGACAAACCCTTACATCTATAAATTATTTTTTAGCAAGTTGCATTAACTATGGGTCATTAGATTTACATTTTGTACTTTTGCATTTCAGTGATTTATTTTGCTTTAGACTGGCCTTTATTTATGTAGCAAACAGACTATTGACTGAAAGCAGAGTTATTTTTTTAGCATTTTTGGGAACATGAACCATACCCAGGAATTAATTGATTAAATGAATAAAAAGAATCACTGTCTGGGATGGCATCAAACATGTAAGAACCATAACAGTGAAGAAACCCTTGATTTCAAAGATTTTGGATTGTTTTATAGTTATACAATATTTTTATTTTGCAACTTTCAATTGGGAATTTAATTTTTTCATATGAAAAGACAGACATGGTCATATTATATATCTACAGCTTATGCAGTCTAAATAGACATGTTCCACTTGATGTTGTACAAAAACATACAGATTGGTAACAAATGTTGTGAAATTACAACTGTTAATTTATTAATACACTTCAAACTCACTGTATTTCCATACTGAAAGCGTTACGAGCAGCTGTTGAAGTTGATTTGGATGCCACACACTCGACAGCTTCTCCTGCCCTGCGTTCCATTTTTTTCAGCTTGTTATTGGACAATGTTGGTAAGTTGAGGGTGGACAGCATATTGTTAACCTTTGTTGGACCTCCAATACTGTCTATCATAGCTGAAAATGAGTGAAACTTATCATTTTTTGTATAATATATATTAACATTTCTCAAGACGTGACCCAAAACAACTAAATTCAACATAGAAAAGCTATTTGATAGGGGTCACATATTTTACAATGTACATGTAAGAATAATGTATGCTCCTGGATTCAACTGTACTACAGTAGGCATTGGTCAACATGGCAAAAATTTGTGGTTTACTAAAATGAATATGATAATACTAAATAGTCAAATTTTCATCATTTAAACTTATAATTATTCACACAAGTCAGAATCATTATCATATAACATGGAACAGATGTGTGGAATAGAAAATTATTATATAGATCTACATGTATATATATTCCAAATATTAACACAAGTTAAAAAGGTAAAGACGGCCTAGTTGACCAAAGCAGAGCTTATACAAGGTTAATATATTTTTAGGACCTAACGGAAAACGGAAGCGGATACATATAATACCGAAGGAGTCTGACACATTTAAAACGGAAAAATTAAAGGGTTTTTACAGACTTCCCCATTCATAGGCTTTGCCTAGTTTCATATTACATTTTCTCCTTTAAATAATAATAAAATTAACATTGAACATTTGTTAAAATTGACTTTTAATGCATAAAATGTTCTAATAAGACAACTGTGTTTACAAAAAACAAAATATGTGTAAGCTTTATACCTGTTACCAAGCTTGGTATTTTACTGCAAAACAAGGCATGCCTGATTTTCCTGATTTTCCCCTGTGGGTTTTACCATACGGAACACAGTTAATGAAACCGCAATTTAAAATTTTGGCACTGCACATACAGATATCCACCAAGTCCCTTCTTAATTTCCTTTTGTACACTGTATAATGTCAGTGGAACCGGTCCTAACCTGCACGATTTGCAAAATTTCAAATTTTCGAGAAGAACACCTAGTTCAATGATTCTCCGACCAATTTTCCACTGTTGCGTAAGATTTTGGTCACTAAACACTTCAGCGGAATCACCACTTTGCACAGAATTGTCCGTTACATAATTATGTTCAATTTCAATCCTTTCAAACTTCTTAATTTTTAACGTTATTTGTTTTTTTTGGCGTACCGGCCACGACAGTTTCGCAAGCGAGCGGCCCATATTGCTTCCTGTGAAAACTGACGTCACTGTCGCTAAAAATAGGTTATACGATAAGTGGCGAGAAAAGGCGAAGGTAGCTTCGGGCCTTCTACGACGTTTCACGATTTTACCCGATATTTACCGATTTATTAGGGTCCGTAATCCTTAAGTACGTCCCAGGTATTAATAGAAACCTTTTTTTTTAATTCGACATGAAAAATGCATGAAGATAAAATGAAGAACAGACTTTGTTTATTTTGACTAGAGCAATATACTTCTTTGTATGTTTCAAAGAAAATTCATATGATATTCTAATCTCTACAGTAGCAAGCTTGCCAAAGTTCATGATGAACAATCTTTTTTGTGCGATCATTTATCTATGAAAAAGTATGATTTTCAATTATGGTAAAGTAATAGACAGTTTCCACATAATTACAAGGGTAGCATTTGATATCAAAGAAAGTGTCTGAAGAATTTCTTTAGACTGAAATATTTTCAGCTTTCTTTATAACATTGCTTTTAATAACTACCTACTCCATTTATTGTTATCTATTGTTATTTATTTTGTAAAAAATTTAAGTTTGTAAATTTATTTAATATTTTATCTTAAATCAGGAATAGCCAATAGCTTATACAACTTCATTATTTCCAGCACAAATGAATCATGCACTCATCAGTTCATTTACTCTGCATCTTGATGAACGTTGCAAATTGAATTTGTCTATCATTTGCAAGAATGTGTTTGTAATTCATCATGTTTTCATAGAAATTAGTATATATTGCAAAAGGAAAATACAACACTCATATTGTAATTTAATTTTGCATTTTCTATCGTTGCAATGTCAAACTGAAATAGAATCCTATGTCTATCTAGTTATATATGTACACAGATCTAAAAGCACTGGTGTTTAACCAATATCACTCTGTATGACATAATCACAACACATTTATTTCTTAATAAATTGTAAGTTTTCCGATAACTTCAGATTGATATTGATAATATGATATTAAACTTACGTATCAAAAAGCAACTCGTAAGTCAAGAGTAAAAAAGAGTAACTGACACAGTTTGATATTATCGTTTCTGTTTAGATAAAAATGCTTTGTAAATAATGCTTAATCAATAAAGGAAAAGAAGATCCTGATTTAGAGATATATTTTAGTAGAATAAGCATTAACACTTCAGGACAGCGGTATGTAAAGAAGCTTTAAAAGCAAATTACAAAAAGCTTTTTTTTCTTCGCAGAAATACATGTGAAGGAAATGGTATTGTTTTATTTTACATTTGCCTGAGCAAATGTGATTTGTAATCCTTTTTGAAAATGAAAATTAGGTATTATAATGATGTTATATTATATAAAGCTTTGATTAACTTATTTACTCAAACTTTTCATACTAACAATAATTCATAAATAAGTCCTAAAATTGTCATTATTGGACGGTGTCTCTACAAACACTTCCTTATTAAATGTTTAATGTGAAAATATTTTTTTTTTTTTTTAATTAAACAACAATTATGAAAACAACATTTTGCACCTGTTACTTGAAAATGTTAAAGCTATTTTGTCCCATTTTAGAATAGTTCGTTTTCATCATAACGTTTCTATGTAATAAATTCAATGATACATTTCAGAAAATGCAGGGATTAAACAACTACCAACTTTTCAAATGCAATACTTTGTCGTTAACAAATCAAAACTTAGTCTAAATGAGTTTTTTTAAGAACATATGATGTATTTATGAATCATAGTCAGAGTATCAAAATTATTTTTTTCTGATTTAACAATTATCACGTGATATGGTTGATATCTGAAGCTTAATGTCTGTAAAACGTTTCAAATCAAATACAATTCCTCTTGCTAATTAGGATGTAATATAATACCGACTCTGATGAATGATATTAATGAACAAATATTTGCTTTGATTATTACAATGTCTGTGACAAAAGAACAAGATATTTGTTATAAAATATCATTTTCAATTTAAATATCTTAAATGGAAAGGAGACTAGCAGATCTAATATTGTGTAAAATCATATTTGTTAGGCACTGGTATCTCAATTCTAGCCGTGATGGTGTTACTTGATATTCTAGTAATTGAATTGCTTGATATTTTGAAATTTATAAGCACATGTAAAATGTATTGAAAGGAAAATGAATAGTTACATGATACTTATAAATGAAATGAACATTAACTTTTAAATATCGTACTTTCCGATTTCAATATGTTTAAGAAAGTAATTCAACATTTCCATATTGTCTGAAATTCGATATTAACATGCGTTACATCACCTTAGATATAAAAATAGTTTCTAGCATCAGATGTAATTTATATAACATGACCAGCAATACCTAACTGTCAGGAAGTTTTGATTAAAGCGGAGCAACAATGACCAGCTAAACAAAAATCCTATTTAACAGCTTATAGACATGTAAATCGGTATAAGAACATGACGAGATACGATACTGTTAATATGTTTATACTTGTTTCAATACCAAACAATAGTTTTCGTTCATATCTCTGAAATTTGTACTAATAAACTATAACATGTTTGTAACGGTTTCGTCTAAACATTTAGTTATTCTAAAGCAGTAATGACATAAAACAACCAATACAGCACATATCACTTTCTTACAGGAAATAAAGAGAAGGTTTTGTCTGGTGGCTACTGATTTATCAATGACAATGGAAGATTTTACTTGTGATATAGTGTTTCGTTTAGTCGTTATAGTTTCGCTAAAATTTCTTATAGGATTGTGGTATCATTTGAAGACATTTAAACGTATCTAAAATTCAACGAAAAGTGCTTTTAAATTGTGTAAATTGGTAAATTTACTATATAGCAATCTTGTTATTGGTTGTTCTAAAGGTATAGTAAGTGCATACATGCTTCTATCAAATGTCTTCTTAAATTTACCTTCAATTCTTTTCCATATGTGTCCGTTTCATACAAAAAATATTCCAATTAAAAAAATAATATTAAAGGCAAACGTTCAACAAACTGTTTGGTATTCAATCACACACAATTTATGTTTGATAATACAGTACATAATCTGATGTCTATTTGTAAAATTAGTGATTCAAGCACAATTAGTAACTAAATTGTCCAGTTCATTACGAAAATCGGTCATAACATGTCAACAATATGATATGCCATTACAAATCATTGAGTAGTATTTGGATTGACATAACAATGCAATTAGGTATAATGGCTGGAATGATACAAGATATATATTCCGTGTAATTTCATGTTTCTACCAATTTAACTTTTGTTTAGTAAACAAATTATAACTGCTTCACTTAAAAACGATACAATGTATTTTGCCAACATCATACTACAGCGAATGTAGTACCAAACATTTGTCTATTTAAAGTGCATCTGTATATTGATCCATATTATTTTTCGGTATTTTAAAAAGTTTTTAATACGTACACACATATTATTTGTTCGTTTTCAATATTGGTTGGTAAGGTATATAATAAGTATCTGGAATATCAGATAATTTCGAATATAAACATATATACCATGATTATGTTAAATGGAAACACAATTAACATGTAACAAGATTTACTTGATGTTTAATATAAACCTCATCATGTATGTCTGTTTAATTTCTAGCTTAATATGCCTAATCTCAAAATAAAGAGCAACATATTTATTTATACTTATCATTTTCAGTTACTGTAAGAAGTTATTAAAACTTTTTAAAATTAGTTAATCTTACAAAGCAATGTTGTTCATTTTCCCATCATTTTATTGACAAGTTACGTTTTGTACACTAAAACAATAAATAGAACGCTATAAAAGACATTTAAATAGTTTAAGTTAATTTAAGTGAAATTTATCATAATGGAAAAGTGTGTCATACAATCAATAATAATTACATTTTTGTATGTTGAGCATGAATTATGAATGTTGTTTGATAGAACATGATCAAATATAACATATTGATATAACACACGTATAGATGACCTAGAATACAATTTTAGTATTCATCATATAAATGTTCACTTATAACTTGATTAACATTTATTTTTGCGGGCAATGTTTTTTATAAGAATTTAAAAATTATACAGTTATGATGTTTATTGTATAAATATCTGAAATGTTTCCTTTTTAGACCAGTGGCTTTTAAAAATAACAAAGTTCATAAAAGTACTTACCGATTGGAAAATCACTCTGGTAAGAATGTGAAATCCAAAAGTAATGTATACACATTGAAAATAATAACTTGCACAGAAACATTATTATATACTTGATTGTTTGATTGGATAATTAACATCACATACTATTTCATTTACTTTTAATCATTTTTATATCATTTATATCACAAACACAACAGATAACAATTGTAGAAGATATATCGCACAAAAAGTGTATTGTTTGCTTTGTTCTGTAGTTTATGAAGTCCGCATAAGTCTGTTTTGTCACAGAATGTACAGTGTATATGTATTGCTTTTCTGCGCATTTTTACAATAATTTCCAAGTATTAAGGTTACAGACATTTCCTCATAGGATTTGTCCA